GGTGGAGCATGAACACACAAATATCACACAGAACGATCTTAGTAGCATGTAGAAGACAGCATCCCAAATAAAAAAATATATAGTAGTAAAAAATCGACTAATATTCACCCTAAACAAACAGAAATAGGGAATCAGAAAATGGTATTTAGTGAGAAAATAGACTAAACTAAAGCACAGCTGTATGCTGGTCATATTAATTAGAAGCCTCATTAGCATTTAATTTCTCGCGTGATCGTGTTACATAAATAACATTCATCCGACTGCTCTCTGACAAACAGCTCATTAGAAAAAGCACTATCTACTGTACAAGCACTCCATATTTAATAGTTTTGTGTGCTTTCTGTCCTAAATGACATTTTTTTCTGTCTATTGACAAAGCTTTTTAAACAATTGCCAACACAGGCTTTTCCATAAATCCTAATCAATGACATGGATTAGTCTCATATTTCCCAGTGTGAGTTTAAAGATGAAGGATCTTTTGATTCGTTACAACAAATTCATACATTTCTGCTCCAAATAATATTGTATCTGGAATACAACTGAGTGAAATTTCCATCAACGAGTCATTATGCAAATGTGCTTGTATTGCAAAGAAGTAAAATATACATCAAGATCAGATGTGAATCTCATATACAATTGTATATGGGTTTTGTGGTTATAAGTAAAAGTCATAATAATAATGTAAACTTGATTATCTAACATACCCTTCAAGGACTGTATATGAATCATGATAAGTCATAGTTTAAATAAGTTTTTTTTTCTTACCTGTACGCCTCACACAGAGTCAGCGTAGTAATGTATTAATGAGTTATGACAAATCTCTATGAGTGCTTTCCTCTCCCTCTGTACATTGTTAATGTGTGCTGATCAGGGAAGGGCTCGTCTCTGTCCAGCCCTACAGGTGAGAACACACCTTAATACCCACACAAGACTTTATATGGAAAAGAACAGGAGCTCCCTTTGACCTTTTACATACATAACCCTACATAAATAAACCTTTAGAAACAACAATTGAAGTCTAAAATTATACATGTTTGTCTGTTCTGTAATTCCAAAATTATCCTATAAGAAAATCAATCAATACATTTCAGAACTAGAAGAGTTTTATTTATGGTTTTGCAAAAAATGCCAAACAAAAGAAAATAATACTTTTATTTAGCAAAGACACATTCATTAAAAGTGACAGTAAAGACTTTTATAATGTTACAAAAGTTACATTTATTTATTATTATTATTAATAATAAAACTATTATTTATTAATAATAAATAATTATATTTATTATTTATAAATCTATTTATACAGTTTTTAACGTTCTATTCATCAAAGAATCCTGAAAAAAAAAATGTATCGTAGTTTCCACAAAAATATTAGGCAGCACAACTGTTTTCACCACTGATAATAATATGAAAAGTTTTTTGAGCAGCAAATCAGCATATTAGAATGATTTCTGAAGGATCGTGTGACACTGAAGACTGCTGAAATTCATCTCTGCCATCACAGGAATAAATGGAATTTTAAAATATATTAAAATAGAAAACAGTTATTTAGTAAATTGTCATGACATTTCACAATATTACTCTTTTACAGATCAAATAAATGCAGCCTTGATAAGAATAAAAGACATCTTTAAAAAACATTAATACATTTTACCAACCTCCAATTTTTGAATGGAAAGAACAAGCTTGGTTGAAACATGTTGAGACCAGAGGGACTTAAAGAACAATTCAGCCAAATTAACATTATATCACAACTTACTCTTCCTTATGTTGTTTCAAACTGGAATGGCTTTCTTCCATGTGTTTTACAGAATAACCTGGTCAGTGGCCACTGTTTTCAATATAATGAAAGTTAATATAAAGTAGAGACTATCCAGAATGACAAGAGGACCATAAACGTAATTTACATAAAGATATATTCCAAGTCCTCTTTACGTTTTTCTGAATAGTCGATCATTTCAATAAATCACTATATTCTGGAGTGAATGATTCAGCTGCAGCAGTTAAAGCAGCTGTATGTGCATTTTTTACCTTGAAATGTCACTTTTAAAATCATTCTGATGGACTTCAAATAAGGCAAAGGGCTTCCGCTTCTTTTCTGCATACAGTTGCTTTAACAGCTCACTGAATGGGAAGATTATCAATGAATAATAACTTAAATTTTTGGTATCTATCATATGATTTAGAATATAGTGCATGATATGGACTACTTTTATGAAGCTTTTTTATTGAAGCTTGAAAGCACATGAAAAAAGGGACCAGGACATTATTGATATTTTCTAATTTTGTGTTTCACAGAAGAAAGAACGGCATACGTGTTTGGAACAACGTTAGAGTGAGTAAATAGTAACTGAGAGTTCATATTTGGGTGAACTAACCTTTTACATGAAGTAGGAATCTCCTTCATTGTCACATATTCTCTCAGTTATATAAAACAAGCTTGTCTAAAGTTGTTGGAGGTCAGAGAGACTCGTGCGTCTCTCTCCTGCTCTGGATTCCCCTCACATCAGCTTTGCATCTCAGCTCTTTCACGCTCAGATCACAAGGAACGCTTCAGACGAGAACGCCATGCAGACACTCAGGAGAGCCAAAGAGAAGAGACAGTGATTAATCTCTTCCACTCCAGCAGATGGGGAGACTGAGCGAACGAATCCCCTGCGAGAGGCTCTTGGACAGATATCAGAGGCTTCCTATGGCAAACGGCCCATCAGCCGCTAACAGATAAAGATAAGTAAGCGGCAAAATGGTGCTTCATTAAGGTTTAGAGGCTTCACCTTAATTGCAGGCCAGAATGCCATTCTGAGGGAGATGGAAAGAGGTGGGCGAACAAACTCTCAAAGTATTGTGTGCGCAGAAAAGCATAACATCACAAGAATAAAAGTGAAAAGGCATTTATAACAAGGAACAAAAACAACTTTTTTTCTGGAGTAATAACAGTTTTACTGATTAACAAGATCTTTCTATATATCCACATGTATGTCTATCTGTCTATATACATATGTCTGTTAATATATCTACTTACTTACCTATCTATACGTCTTTCCATCTGTTTGACTATACATCTCTATCTATTCTGTCTGTCTCTCTATTATACATATCTATTCATCCATTCATCAGTCTACATACCTATTTATACATATAAATCTAGCTCTCTACTTACCTATCTATGTCTTTCTGTCTATCCATCCATCCTTCCATCTATCAGTCTACCTACCTACCTATCTATACAGTATGTCTATCTACCTTTTATACAGTATCTATCCATCTATGTCCCTGTCTATCCTGCTATCCATTTGTCTGTCTTTCTATCGGTCTATCCATCCACCTTCAATCTATCATCTGCTGGTTAAATATCATGACAATATCAGCAGTGATTATAAATAATGCATTTAGAATTTACTTGCAATCATGTAATATATGGCTATTTTTTTATGTAATCAGTAAATATTTACATTATTTTTTCCTGATTTTCCACCTCTAACTACAAAATCAAAATAAGTCTGTTTTTTTCCTTCATTTCCACCCTTTCAAGGGTCTTTTGAAACAGAATTAGACTATTTCCAGTTTAAAATTAGCTGCTTTTTCTCTCTCCTCAATGTCAGGACATGCAAATTCAAACAATAAAGGCATTTGATTCGAGTCAGTGTGAGTTCTGAGGCATTAGAGTTCTAATGTGAAGAAACTCAATGACACTGGTTAGGGAAACAGGGTTTGGGCAAAACTAATTATGTTTGTCCCAATGTCATTTAGCTGCTGGTTAGGTAATCAGTGTTTATAAAGCAACACTTGTCCAATGCAATATGCTGGTGGAACAGTAAAGACTTCATTTTACTGCATTACTCAAATAAGCATTTAACACTGCATAATAAGCAACCTCTAGGATTTAAGAGTATTTTCCTCGCTGTAACAGCATAAAACTGTGTACAGCACACATGCAGACATCACGCACGCACACACACATTCATGACAATAGTAAAGCAAACAGATATGACTCATTTCCAGAGAAGCATGCCAACATAACCGAGCTCATATTCAGCTGTTGCTTTCATTCACCGTCCCAGAGACACCTTAGGCAAACATTTCTCTGACAGCACCCAAATTCAAAATGTAATTTTATACTCTCACAAACACACAGCGCTGTTTTCATCTCCAAGAAGCAAAACACACAATCCATAAAGCTCAAGGTCATGTGATTCACAGAGGCTCCTAAGTACCATATTTGGATATTCTGAAGTTAATCATTGAGATCATGAATTTCTAACAGCACAAATACAGCAGAAAATGTTTTGTAACCTAATCAAATGTTGATTGGTTTTACGTAAGTCAGAGAAATTATTTAATGACTAAATCAATCTGATTACATTAAGTTACACCAACAAAAGAGTCAGGTCAGGTCAAACTATTTTACTTATCACTTTTACAGTATAAACTGAGACATGAAATATTAAATATTTGTGAAATAATGCAAAAACCATCTTACCTTTCTCAGAGTCCAAGGTCAACAGATACAGTAATTTAACAATGTATAAATGCACAACTGACCGCCACCACATATATTTCCATAGCTAAAAAAAATAAATTATCTGCTTTTTTCCTAAGCTTTAACACCAAAAATGACTATTTACTGTCACAGGTGGCCTTTCAGTTGCTGCTCTGTAAGTGAACCGCTTAAAGTTCGTGGTAAATCATGCAGCAAACTAACCGAGCGCTCAGAGTTTGCTCATTAACTATATTTCACACAGCCCACATTTCTGTGCACTCCATTCTTTATATATAAAAAAATCTTGTTGAGGAGAACCAAGCATATTTAAAATCATTGTACTGTAAAGGTCCTGTACAATGGACTTTTTGTGTGTCATCTGCTCATGGCTTCCCAGCATCCCTTTGGAACTTACTCGAGTGTAATGCACACAAATAGACACAAACATGTGAGCCCTTCTTTATATTGATTGCATCTTTTATTTTAATAATGATGATTATTAATTTCAGATTCTGACTATTATTAGTTCAAATCACAGTTGGGTAATAGATGCAAACGTTTCTTTTGAACACAATGCTTATATGCTATATTTTCGAAGGCATACAAGAACCCAAGAAAATAATGGCATCATCCTTTGCCCGATATTATCATTCAGTCCAATGAAAACTCCTGACCGTCACCGAAAAGTTTTCAGGAATTTTAAAAGACTCACCGTTCGCTCTTACAGTAAGTGTCTGTTTAAAGGTTTTGAATTGTAAATATGCAGCATACAAAAACTCATTTGTGTCCCCATAAAAACAACAGTCAGAAGGCACTTCGTTTGGTACGAGAGAACGAGAAAAAAAATAAACCACAGTTGTTGGAACTATCGATGACGCCACGGAAAAGACTGCCTGCATAGCCTGAACAGAAAAAAAAAGGTGTTTTCACGCCTGTCCAGAAAAATAGCACATCTTGTTATTTTTCCTGGTAAACATACTCAAGGATAGTAAACACTTGTGTTTCTCTTATAAAACAATGCTTTGTTTTCTTCATTCTGCATCAAAAGTTAAAATAAACCAAGTGTATATATTTGCTTGCCAAGGAATTATGTTGGCCGTTGGTCCAATGAGGGAGAAGGAATGACGTTCGTTGGGTGAGTGGTCTCTTCTAGAGGCCAGAGCCGAACGATGGCTCAGCCGGAGATGTTCGTGTTTGCAAGGCAGTGCTGGACCCGTGTGCTACCTGACCCTCAGGCTCTGTAACACACTGTAAACGTCTGTCTCTTTGCTCAGGCCTTCAAACAGTGGCAGTAAATCCAGCAGCTCAGTGTCTGTCATGTCATCAAACCACGACTGCACCGGCACCTGCAAACACACAAACACCATTACTAAAACACACGTTTCTCAAGCTAGTAACTTTGACAATAAAAATACCATTAGCTTACCTTACCTTTAGACTGTGCAATGAAAATGGTTCCTTAATAAGTAACCCCCTTAAAGGGATAGTTCACCCAAAAATGAAAATTCTTATGACTTTCTTCTTCATAACAATGATGAACATATTTTGCAGATTTGAAATGACATGAGGGTGAATAAATAATGATACAATTTTCATTTTAGCTGAACTACACCTTAAAGAAAACACACAGAAAATACTTTAACAGTCAGCAAGATTGAAAAGTGAATTTCTAAATGTGTTCAATAACTGATGCTTTTTTAATGTTTTCAAGCTACTTGTTCCGTCCCTTTAAAAATGTATAATTTTTCTGTCCTAAACTCTTTATAAAAGGCCTCTTAGACCATTGATATCATTGATTTTCATTGAAAATCCATAAGTTTGTTTGTTTAAAAAAATACGGAAGTACTAGGAATGCATGATTTGTGGGGGGAAAAAAACATTTAATGGCAATTTTCTAAAAAAAACCCAAATGCAATTATATATAAATACAACTAATAATACATGTAATCACTATTGTTGTTGTTTTTCTTATTGTATTATAATTATGACTAAAAACAAACAAAAAATTACAACTATAATATTTCACTGTAAAATAAAAAGTGTTAAATACAATTAAAATATGAATAATCAATTTTCATTATTGTTATATTACACAGTACAACTGTTAAATTACAATACTAATAGTTATGACACTGTATGTTGCATTCACAAAAGTGTGTTATAAGCAAACCAAGCTGCTCCGAGACAATGAAAACAAGCACAGCCTTTGTGATTCGATAATCTCACTTAGATTCGGATTTTATTACGATTAATCGTGCCGCCCTAGAAAGTACTATTAACAACAGTGGCAGATAAAAGCATACGTGACATATGCAACAAACGTATTTGCCAACTGTGAGCAGTGTCTTGAGAATAGCTCTCCACCACCTTACAGATAACAGGCTTTAATCAGCACCTTTAGTTCATTAGTTTGAATAGAGAATAACAGCTTCTCATCTAACAGGAGGGATGCAAGCGTGTGTAGGAGGTGACAGCACTGAGGTACAGTGGGATCTGTCTGACTGCAGCTTCCTCCACAGGACTCTCGCTACACACTGAGACTAGAATTGATGAGAAGTTTCGACAAAGGAGTGTAAAGTGCCAGTGGCTGGGTTCTACCTCATTAGTTCCACTGGAAAAAGTGATTCTGGGATGAAGACATAAATTCATGCACTAGGAGTCAACATGCAATCTATATTATCTATTAATAGTGTATTCTGATGCTGTAATGAAAAATGAATTGCAGGTGCGGCCCATAGTGACACATACAGCGTTTTCTGGATGGAAGATGTAGGAGGCAGGTGAGTTGTCCACTATGATGACTTTGTTGAGCTCTCGGCCCAGTCGGCTGAGGTCTTTGACGTAGTTCCCCCGGTGGAACACACAGGATTCCCTGAAGAGCCGGGCCCTGAACACACCCCACCGGTCCAACAGGTCTGCTACAGGGTCAGCATACTGCAAGACCAAAATAGAGACAAACAATACAACAATCACACTGTTATGAACTGCACGGTGACTCGAAGGTAGAGGATCCAAAGGTCATACACAAACAGGTAATTCAAAACAAGGACAGAGTAAGGGGCTGAGGCAAACAAGAGTAAAAAACACTTAATGTTAAATAAACACTTCATGTACCTGACTCAAATCCAGCCCCCAAAAACACATTAAATAATATATTGAATAAATAATTTTAATATCATATAAAAATATTAGTAACAATAACAAATTAATTTAAAATTAATAAATGAATTAAACATGTCAATAAATAACATATACTTTATGTATCTAACTCAAATCCATCCCAAAAAAAACAACATGAAATAATATATAACTTGAATAAATAATTATTACAAACGTAATCATGCAATAGTTATAGTAATAATAATCATCATAACAATAATAATGAATGAATAAAAAAAGTAAATGAACAATTGATAAATAAATATTTATGTCTCGAACTCAAACTTAGCAAACAATAATTAATTAATTAATTAATTAATTAATTACCTGAATCAATCATTTTTACAAACCTAATCTAAATCACATTCCTAAATGGATTTAAATCTGATTGAATCCCCTTAGCTTTTGAAAAACTGGGATAATTTGCGATAAAATTAGATGTCATTCTATTTTGAAAAGGAGTTAGTTTTCTTGCTGTTAAAAATTAATGTTTGGTAGGGAACGCATTTTATATATATACCAGTGGTGCATAATACATCATCTCATGAACAAGATAAACGATTATTAATGCATGAAACAAACTCACTGCAGACAAACTTTCTCAGTTTCCCACACATCCTTTTTTTATTATATAGGTATATATAAATCACATAGAACAGCAAAATCGCTCTAAACAGCATTAAAGCCCTCTGAGAGTATCTCACAGGAGATGGATCCTGTGAGCTCCACCGACTTCACTTCATCATTTATTTGCATAACGTTCAACTTTTCTCAACTTTGTTGAGTCACTGGATTCACACACATTGCATTGCAATGGTAACGTTGCAGCTATCACTGAAAATGACTTCCGTTGCTATAAATCGAGTCGGTAAAATATTGACTAATTGACCAAATATTGAAGACTATTGACTAGAAATAGATCAGATTTCATCAGCTTACAAAATTACATTGCAAGCTGTTAGTCAGTCCTAAAGCAGTCTGAAGAAACCTTGGAGAATCTTACCTTAGCCAAGCTGGCTGTAAAAAGAACACATTCAAACAGTTCGCCCATTTTCTGCAGAAACTCATCCACGTGAGGTCTCTTCAGCACATAGACCTTCAAACAAACCAAATAAACAGTTATTACTGATGGAAAGAAATCACTTCTGATTTCCGCAATTAGACAGAAGAGATGCTGACACTGAACTTTCAACAAACCTCTTCGTAGAGCTTCAGTCTTGAACTTGTCGTTCAGTTGCTGCAACCCAGTGCAAGTAACCAAGAACAGGCCAACCCTGATCCACAAAGCCTATCCTGGATTACTTGAACCAGGTACCAGCCACTTCGCAGATGTATTCCAGCAACAAATAAGCCTTTTCGACTCACACACAGGCTTACTATCAACACAATTCATACTCCCCTTAAGTGTGTTTACTCTGAGCTTTCGGCTGTATTCAGACTGGTGACATTTGCTTATTTCAAGTTAGTTACCGCGTGCGAGTGCTGCTGACTACATCGCACCCAATGACTCGAGGAGAATGATAAAAAGGAAATGAGATTCAGACTGTGATTTAGCATGAACCCTTTGGGGCCACTCACATATGACTTCTTCTTAAGAGATGAAAGGATGAGCAAAACTGAATAAAAATATAAAGCCTCAGAGGACACATGTTGGAAATGGTAAGATATCATTACCGCTGATGTCTTAATACAGCAGAAAACACAAAGAACAAGTGAGGTCACCGTCACTAAGATGTATTTTATGTTGCGATTCCATATTCAAATATTTTTTACAGGAATATTCCAGGTTCTATAAAAGTTAAGCTTGATGGACTGCATTTGTGGCATAATGCTGACTATCACAAAAATGAATTTCTACTTGTCCTTAATGTTTCTCTGAAACATTATTTTAGTTAATAAAACGTTTTTTTTTTTTACTGTAAATTTAATTTCAATTCAAAAGTTGCTACTGCATTTTTATGGTAGATTTCTGGCAACCAAAGCTGCTGCTTTTTTAACTGTATTTTTTAAAAATAATTTTTACAATGTAGTAACCAAAAGTGTTAACATAATTTTAATGTAAAAAATCACTTAAATAAAATTTTCTGAGTAAAAGTCTAATTTTACAACTTTGTTTCCCAGTGCCCTAAAACAGCTCTAAAATGATGGTTTAAGCAGTGTTATGGCTCAAAAATAGCACATTTTTGGCAGAAATATTATTGTAAGTGCTTTAATAAAATTATTTTAAATCTTCCAAAAATTGGTCCCATCCACTTTCATTGTAAGTGCCTCACTGTAAACCTTGATTTTTTATTTTTAAGAAAACAAAGGAAAATAATATTTGTTTTTATTATCCTACAAATGCTGTCGATTAACTTGTATAGAACGCAAAATATCCTTTAATTTAAATTTATGACACAGCTTGTCAAGATTACGTGAAATTGCAGCCCAAAATCACAGTCCAGATTCAAAGGGGGCGAGAGCTTTGTTAGTAATCCGTTGCCGACAAAGTGTGAACATTTACCCATGGCTACATTTGAACCTATTTGCACGGTACCTGATGAACTGTTCCGTCAATCTCCACAGGGACTATAAAGTCAGCATTGCTGATGGGCTGCGGGCACAAAACAGGAAATCATGCGTTAGGAGCCTGCTTGAAACCGACTGTAAGCATGTTACAGCTGTATCAGCTGAGCTGTTCTCTGAGAGAGCCAGAGGGAGGCATCCACTGCTTCACAGCTACCTGTAGTCAAGACTTTCAATTAGACTTCTTTGAGCTTTAGGAGTGTATGTGCATGAGTGTGCGCATTTGAGCGTGTGTGTTTCTGACAGCTGACTGCATGGAGCTGGGAACTGCAAACGTCTTTGAAAAGAGACTTGATACGCTTTTAAAGAAAACAGAGGGAGAGAGAGGAGGAGACGTGCTGTAGAGTGCTGGGAGACGATGAAAGAGACTCAGCGGGTGGCTATGAGCTGTCTTAATGCAAACAGAGAAAGGGAAAGGGAGATGAGGATGAGGAGAGGAGAATCAACTTTTGCTCTATGCACTTTTCAAGGGCTTGTTAAAAACATGGAAATTCTGTGAATCTCAGTTCTGACTGGACGGCAGAGAAGGAGGCTCATCCAACAGCTGATGCATTTCATAATTATTTTGAAATAGCAAATTATTTTAAGAATGTTTTTTATGGAAAACTAAATAAAACATAAAAAAAGAACAATTAACAGTTAACAGTAAAAACCTTTGTGTATAAATACAGTGGACACATTTATGAATGTTTTAGTAATTTAATTTCTGTCTGAATTAAATATTTAATGAAGGGACTAATTTCAGATCAGTGTTCACAGTCAACTGATTTACACGTCAGTTCATAATATGGCCAGCAGGAGGAGTGTGTGATCTACGTATATGAATGCGAATTGTGACACTGGCATAGCAATATTTATTAGCTAGAAATATATATATATATATATATATATATATATATATGTGTGTGTGTGTGTGTGTGTGTAACCAAACTCAACATATAAATTGTAGTTGGAAGGGGTCTTGCTAACCCTATAAAAATGACAATTTTTGCATAAAAATGACCATCTGACTGCACATTATCCTATTTAATACATGGCTTCCACATAAGAAAATACATTGACTTTGGAGATTGAAGTGAGATTAAATTATTTTATTATGCGAGTAAAAAAAGAGAGTGTAGAGTTTTACAAGAAACATGAAACTAGAATACTGTATGAAATCTGCTGTCAGTGGTAACAGTTTAGTGGTCATTATACAAGAAAATTTAGATGAAAATCAAGTATTTCAGGCGGTGTTTCAAGTTCATTTATGCATTTTTTAAAGGATTAGCACAATGAAGTACAGACCTTTGGTCAATATTATAAAATGAGTATCATGTCTATGTCTAAAACTTAAAAATTCCTTTGCATTACATACCAAATATTTAATATTGCTTAAATGTTCAAATATTGAAGCCACTGTATTTAAATGAAAAAAGCTAATTGAGACAGAACATGCTAAACAATAATTCTAAGTAATAGAATATATTGTAAACACTCGTTCAAGTATGGTCACGGTCAAATCTTTTTTGTGTAACTGTGAGCATACCTTTCTAATGTAATGTGTGTGTATGTGGGTGTGTGTTTTGGCGTCAGGATGGGTGTATTTGTGTGTGTATGTGAGGATGTGAACGCGCACAAAGGCATGCATCCCTCTCTCTGGGCCTCTTTCTCTCAGTCGCCGCCTTTCTCTCTTCTCTGAGCAAAAACAGGAGCTGCCAGGCAGACATTTTAAAGGAGGACAGGCTTAACAAAACACAGTTATTAGTCTTAGAGCAAACACATTCAGTATCTGTCACTGTCTTTCTCTTTTGGGAGTGGGGATGTATCCAGCTGTGGAAGACATGTATGCATTAAGCAGGATGTGTGTACATATATAAATGTGGGGTGATTGATTGTGTGTAATCAACTGACCATAGTTGTTTATTTGACTGTGTGTGTGTATGTGTGAGAGAGAGGGAGAGCTAAAAACCAGTCTAAAACGAAGATGCAGAGAAGTGGGTCACTGCGCTCAGCAGGTGGCTCCCCGAAGCGCTACTTTCTAGGGACCAGACAAACATTTAATCTCGGAAGAGGATTTAATTCATTTGGGACTTAAAATCCACCCCAACAACCTCAAAATACTGCCAATGCCTTCTGTTATCATGTCTTAGGTTGCTCAAATAAATCATCTGGGCACTCAAAACCACTGTGCAGGAGTGAATCTCCTGAAATTGCTCTTATGAAAATAAAACTGCATAACAGACAAATACTGGTTAAAATGATCTACTTCTAATTACTATTTTTAACTATTTCTGTCAGTCTTGAATGAAAGATTCATACTCAATATTTTGCCCGCATTCTCCACCTTCTTGGATTATTGTGTATTCTGGGATTTCCTTCTTCGAAAAGGATAGTTATAGTGCTGGGCGGTATACCGGTTCATACCGAATACCGGTGTTTATTTTTGTTATGATAAGTTATGACACTAAATGTAGCCAAAACAAGTTATCTTTGGAGGTAGAATAATCAAGATGCCTACTTTGTAAAAGGCTCCCTACATAGGCAGCTAACTAGGTTTTAAAACAATATTTAACAATACTTGGCACTCTTCAAAAGGTCATTACTAGCCTCAACATGCCGCTTATTCATTGCTATATGAAATATCATAATAACAAAATTGTAGTATTTTTAGTACATGTGTGTGTATTCAGAAGTACCTTGAAGGAGCTGTGCACGAGGGTCTCGTCCAGGTCAATGACCACACAGTTCTTGCCGTAATCATTAATGCTGACCTCAGGCAAGAGGTATTTGGCTGGAGGCTGGAGGAAATACAGAACAGATGAATACAAGGAGGAGAGAAGAGCAAACAAGCAGTTCAATGGAGGATAAAGATGCATGCTTATCATATCAGCCAGATATTCAGAATTATCATCAAAAGCTACAGGCCCTCCTCCAAAGAGACACAACATGCACTGGAGATTGCTCTGTTGTTGCCCCAAATGAATCCCAAATGATGTACCGGGATCTAGTGGTTTTGGATAACCTTGAAACAACGATCATAGCTTTGTGTTAAAGTGACTGTCCCCCCTGGTTTGGCTTCACTGCCAAGTCGTGTTGCCTAAGCACAAGCTGCCTCTGTAGATGGTCTGCCAGTAACGGGAAAGAGATGTCCTTTACTAAGCCTGACCTGAGGGAGGCAGATGGACTTGCCTATGGGAGCAAAACACACTCACACATATCCAAAGATGCAAGCGAAGTCATCCACAGCACATGCAGAAATGCATAATGTATAGTGGGTATAGAAAAGAAACACCCCTCTTTAAAATAATCACATTTTGTTGCTTTGCAGCCTGAAATGAAGACGGACAGTTTTTGTTTTATCCAGCTGTATTTACTCAGTGCAACTTATAACATCCAAGTGAAAGATATAACACCAACATGTCAGAAAAAAAAAAAAAATAAAAATTAATAAAAAAAACAGAATCACTGAGTTGGAAAAAGGATCACCTCCTTGTGTCAGTATTTTGTTGAACCACCTTTTGCTTTAATTACAACCTTTAGTCAGTTGGGATATGTCTCTTCTAACTTTGCACATCTAGACTGCAATTCAGTTAAATTTGATGGGGAGTGTTTGTGGACTGCAGTCTTCAAGTCATTCCACAGATTTTGAATGAGGTTTAAGTCTGGGCTCTGACTAGGTCATGCAAGGACATTCACCTTTTTCTCCTTCAGCCACTGTGTGCTCAGTTTTGCTGTGTGCTTTGGGTCATTGTCCTGTTGGAAGGTAAACCTTTTTTCCAATTGACAACTTTCTGGCAGAGGGCAGCAGATTTTCCTCGAGAATTTGACTGTATTTGTCCCCATCCATTTTTCCTTCTATCCTGACAAGTGCTCCAGTCCCTGCTGCAGACAAACACCCCATAACAGGATATTACCACCTCCATGCTTTACTGGAGGAATGCTGTTATTTGGATGGTGAGCTGTTTTGGATTTCCACCAGACATATCGTTTATTGTTGAAGCCAAATAATTCAATTTGTACCAAATACCTTCCACTTCTTAATAACAAGAGTTTACAAATAATTTTTAGGAGGGGGGTGATCCCAACTCAGTGATTCTGTTTTTTTTTTTTTTTCTGGCATGTTGGTGTTATATTTTTCACTTGGATGTTATAAGTTGCACTGAGTAAATACAGCTGAATAAAACAAAAACTGTGTTCATCTTCATATCAGGCTGCAAAGCAACAAAATGTGATTATTTTAAAAGGGGGTGATTCTTATCTATACCCACTGTACGTACATTCTTGACAGTAATATGCCGAATATTCTTTACATGTTCATTCTTCATTTCACCATGAGCGTGGAGGAAAGGTCATAGAGGACAGTGCATGGGCTGGATGATTTATCTGTGCCAGTATGAATCTGCTGGAGTCCTCCATGACCTTTCACTGCCGATATTTCCACCTCATCTGGTTTGAATAACTTTGCTAATCTAATAACATTAAACTACATTAAAGTTGAATTAATTATTAATGTAATTCATAATTACTCCAATATGTACTTTTAAGTATATAAAATGTGATGTGTCAAACATGGAATAAACCTATAGCCTATAAAGTGAGTCTCAGCGTATGACCTTAATATCAGTGCAAGTGCTAGAAAATGGATGCACTCTTCAACACTGTCCACACATACAGTAAGCACACACACAAAAATATTTTATATCACAGTCCCTACTGTTTTTAAAGAGGAAGACGGCATTTTTTTGTATCAAATTAGACAACTTAAAGCTGTTCATAGTTTACATTCCACAATAATTATTTTATGTTGCGACTAATAACTGATAAATGGCTGATATTAAAATTCATTACCATTTTGTCTAAATAAATAAAAGTATATGTTTTTATCTGAAAACGACCGATCGTTTCATTAGAGAGGACTCTGGGGTCGTGTGGATTACTCTGAAGCTGCAAAAATATGGATTTTGGGACCGTCAAGAATGTTCACTTGCATTAGATGGGAAAAATTCCTTGAAAGTTTTCCTCCAAAACCTTAATTTCTTTTCAGCCAGAAAAAATATACATATACATCTTGGATGACCTAGGTCTAAATAATCAGTATATATATATTTTTTAATATTGGGTGAACTATTACTTTAAGGCATTGCAACATAATAATGTACAATTTTAAAAACATATTTATTTTGAGATTTGCTAAAGATTGTTTGTTTGACAGTGTTATTAAACTATTAGTTTTTAAAAATTAACTTTACTTTATTAGTGATTAAAGATTAAGTGAGTGTTAGATGACAGCAAAGGTACTTTAAATATAAAAAATAGGGGAAATGAGCATTCACAGTTAAGTATCCAATATTCACTAATAAATAAAATATATTGGTATTGGTTTTTCGGGTTTTGCTATCACTGAGGGAACATTCGGTCCCCACATGGATACACAAACAAGACCACACAGATGGTCAAAATTATGCATGCTCCATGAGTACATGCAATTACATCATTACATTATAACTCTGAAGACTTTATGGTTTTCGAAAAATGCTTTAACCATAATTGAAGCCTCATGCTGTATCAGCCAATCCCAGGATTCATTTCATGGCTTTCAAACACTTTAAGATTTATCACTTGCTTGAATTATGATAATCTGTTTGCGCTGAGTGAAAAATGACAGCCAACAGTTTGTGGTTCACTAAATTCCCAACTTAACCTTTACCCCAATCCAGACACTTTCAAAATGCATTAGAGAGAAGATACTGAAAGCTTGACATCATGCAGCTGAAAATTTCAGTCATTAGTGTCAGCCAGTCAAAGCAAGGAGGATCTGGAAGCAGGCAGTGAGACATTCCCAGCTGTCATCTTAGAAGACACCAGTGGATCCGAGGTTTGATTACAATTACTGTGAGAATTAAAACTCCTGCCAGCATTTGCTCAGCATGGATGCTTGCTTTTTGCTGAGCAGGCAGAGGCAGGTGGAGTGTGTTTCAGGATTTGGGTCTCCCCTATCTCCGGCTCAGCGTGAAGGCCTGGCTCAGATCAGTAAACCTCTCTGCACACTCTTCCTCTAGCAGGTGCAGTGTGGGATGATTTGACTTTCTGAGACTGCTGTTGTCCTTAAGTACAGCTTATTACTATCGGCACTACCAGTCTCCCAATTACCTTAACCATATGACTCTATAACCAAGCTTAAAGGAACACTCCACTATTTTTGATAATAGCGATTTTCTAGGCCGATAGGAACTATACTCTCATTCCGGCATAATAATCAAGGAACTTTGCTGCCGTACCATGGGTGCAGCAGGCGCAATGATATTACGCAGCGCCTAAAAATAGTCCCCAGCTAGGTAACTTCCAATAAGCCTATTTTCAGGTGCTGCGTAATATCATTGCGTACCGCCAGACCCGGAGATCGGCTGAATGGATTCGAAAACGGTAAAACTCAACTGTTTAACTCTAGGGGAGTTGGAAAATGAGCCTATTTTCAAAAATAGTGGAGTGTTCCTTTAAGACAAAATGAAATAGCATTTGCAAACCATTAAAGGGATAGTACACCCAAAATTAAAATTTTTGTCAACGACTCGTCATTCCCAAAGAGTATGACTCTTCTGTGGAAAACAATGGAAGACATCTTGGAAAAAAAAAAGTATTTTGTACACACAATGAAAGTCAATGGGGTCCAATCAGTGTTGTTCAGGACTCAACTGAGTATCGGCAAAAACTGTTAAAAAATGTGTCCAAATATCTTCTTTTGTGCTCCACAGAAGAAGAAAAAAACATATTTGGAATGATGTGAGTAAATAATGATAGACTTTTAAATTTGGGTGAACTATCCATTTAACTTAACAAATTTTGAATTTTGAGTGAAATAGAATATTCAATTGCAAAAAAAATCAAGGGCAGTTTGTGGATTTGATCTGTTTTGATCATATATGGCTATGATATTTTGAGATTAATGGTTAATATTTTCCCCCCACACATGCTACTAAGGTTTTGTGAGCAGAAAACCCATTATCAAAGGCAGAGTTATTACATTTTGATGAAAGATTATGAAAACAAACTGTTTTTTTTCTTTAGAACAATGTGCAATGATATGGACAATAAGACCAGAGACATTTACTGATTTCGATCAAAACATTTTGATGAGATCTGAGCTGTACGGGAGTGTTTTTTGTAATGAATGAAAGTAGATGCAGGCAAAAAAAACAAAAAAACATCTGCATTGAAGGATTGTGCAGGTCATTGCAAAATGTATTGCTTTGGACAGTAGGTAAGTCATAGGATCTTCATGTAATTGATTAAATTCAAATGTTTAATCAATTCAAAGCCCAAGGTTTAAATCCTTCTGTCACTTACGCACAATATGTGGCTGTTTTCCAAGATGCTGCATATTTTATGTAAAGTGATGTAGAAGCTTAATGCATCCCAGAAAAATGAAGTCAGGCAGGTTTCTCTCAAGAGACAAAAATATATGCATAAGCATGCAGGCAAAAAAAAAAAGATAATACATACACTGGGAATAGGGATGACCTGGACCTGATCACACTGAGAAACAAAACCAGATAGAAAGAGGGAAAAAAAGAAAGAAAGAAAGAAAAGAAAACGGAGGGAAGAGAATCATCAAAAAGAAAAAAAGAAGCACAACAAACACGACACTGTGAAAGCAAACATCACAACAGAGATTACGAATTGTTGTACATTATTATTACATGACTGACTAAGACAGACAGACATGCTGACAAAAATCACATCCTTGTTCACAGCGTAATCCTGCCAGGAATCTCTCTGGAAGTGCTGTAAAACACATGGGTTTCATTTAAAGTGTCTGTGGGTCTAAAACAGGGCAGCTTAGAGTGCATGCACATGTAAAATAGCAGGACATTCCACTTCAAATCGCGAGTCATTTGCAGGCAAACATTGGCGGTAATGCGATCTGATTCAGATCCATTTATAGCTGCCTGTACCTGCTTTGTCAGCACACATGAGTGTTTGTGGAGCGCTGTGGCTTAAAGTTTCACCACGGACAGTGAGGTCATTTCACACGGTACACTGCCCAGCATTTGTGTGTGTGTTTGGATGAGTGCAAGAGACCGAAAGAAAGAGTGTGAAAATACACTAAACAACAGGCACAAGACAAATGCGCTGAAATAACTCCACAAAATGAGTGTTTACTGTAAAGTGCAGTTTGTAATTTTTTGTAAATATTGCACCAATCTGAGGTGGTCCGCTCCATGCAAAATAAAACCGCTTTTATTAGGCTACTGATGGACTGGAGTCTTCATGATGAGTGTGGAAAACCAAAAAATAAAATAAAATAAATTAAAATAAACAAAGGCCCAAGTGTACATGTGTCTACAGTACATGACATGTTTGCACCATCCTAGTGTAAGGGTTTATTGCTCAAAGTTTGCCCCTTTTACAGCTCAGGAGATTTATTTGAGTTCTTGGTTGTTTTCTTCAAGTATCAATTTTGTATCAGACGTTTCTTCTAAAATTACTTATAAAAATTGAAATTTTTGACTTTTTTATATTTTTTGTATTTTTATTTCTCCCACAGAAATGTAAAATTAATGTTAAAATTAAATAGCTCAGATATTTTTTTTCCTTGCAAAAGTTTGATGAGAAATCACAGACTATTAACTGCAGTCAGACTTGGCTAGTCTCAGTCGAATTTGAAACTTTTTCTCAGGAGAACAATCTGAAAATCAGGAGCAAAAGTCTCAATTTGATTTTGTTCCCTAGGAGAAACAACTGAGATATTAAAAAGATCTCATTTGTGCTTTTTACTTTTCAACATGGTGACCTGTTTTGCATAATTACTTTATTAACCTGAAAACAGCATAGATGACGTGCAAATAAACAACACTATCAGCGGGCGCAATGCATTCTAAGTGATTGTGTACTCCCCATTAAGTGTACATAGCCAATGGGAGAAAGAGAGAAAGAAAAATAAAGAAAAAGAAAAGGAAAGAGGGGAAGGAACAAACTGGGCAGCAAGTAATCAATCACACAAGACACATACTTTATTGGAATTAGAACCAGTTCAGGAATGTGTGAGAGAGAGTGTATGTGTATGTGGGTGGGTGGAAATTGAAGAATGTGTGTGAGGGGAAGCGGGCCCATCATTTCTAGAACTGGATGGTAAACATCACAGCGGGTTCACAGAGTTCGGAACAGCTGGAAAACTTTGCGGTGTGGACACGGGAACAGCATGCACTGAGCCTGCATTCAGGTGCAGCTCGCAAACAAGAAAAAAACCTCAGCTAAACCGAGAGAAAATTTTTCAGACTTTATTCTGAGCTGGACCAACATTAGCAATTCAAATGCAGTAACTTAAACTCTGCAATTTCTTGCATCCATTGCCGAAGATTTTCACGCCGTTAAAACTGTCGTTAGAGAAATAAATGAGGCCTCACCTTTGGAGGGCTGCTGTTCTCCTCGGCAGGTGGAGGGAGGGAGCAGGTCTTGTTGTTGGTGGCTGGTGGTTCCGCATCATAGTCTCGGAAACAGCAGAAGAAGGGACTAAAGATACTTCTGTTCCTGTGTTTCTTTAAACTGCTGTTGGACTGGGAGACTGTGACAGAGAAAAACACACACACACACTGGTCACAGCAATGCACAAACTGTTCAAAACATCTGGGGCTTTACCTTCCCTGCCCTGTAACTTAAAACCCATCTGCCTCGCATACAGCACACATTCACGAAGGAGGTCGTAACGAGTGAAAAACAACAGTCGGTCGGAGTTTGCTTATTGGTTACTATGTACAGCTCACATGACCGAACAAGTGTGCAAACAGCTCCTTTTGCGTATTATGGTACACAGAACGCGTCTCCATGGGCGACTCAGTCACCTTTACCCCCTACGCTTGCACGCCTGCTGTTCTGTGATTGCATTCAATGCATACAACAGCACGTCATTGTGCACAGCAATATGTCTCAAGTACAGTAATACAACCTGCTTTAAAAGCCCTGTAAAAAAAAAATGCAAATCAGACATTGTAAATGCTGAATGTGAGGAAGACATGATTAAGCTGATGGCAGTGGATCTAAAATTGAGTGTTCATGTGCATGAACATAAGCATGACGTCAAGGGTCACAGTAAAATAAAATAAAATAAAATAAAATAAATGCCCTCTTTACTGTGAAAGAACAGTCAGCATGATCCCAAGGTTTGCACAGTCCTAAAATAATGGAAGAGCCTTTTTCAACAAAACAAAACAAAGCAAAGCAAAGCAAAGCAAAACAAAACAAAACAAAACAAAACGTCCTCTTTATTGTAAAAGAAGTCACACAAGGTTTACACAATCCCAAATAAAGAGGCTTTTTCAAATAAAACAAAACATAACAACTTTTAAAAACAAATCAAAACAAAACCAATATTATGTCCTCTTTATTGTAAAATAATTCACAGAAGGTTTGCATGATCCCAAAATAAAGGAAAAACAAATCAAAACAACTCAAAACTCAAAACAAAACTCACAACAGATCAAAAATCAAAACAGCAGCTTTCCTTTTAAAGTAACCCATCTGCCCGTCTCACAATAACATTCTGGTTATGTACACATATGTGCATGATATTTTGCCCAGTAACTGCAGGAACTACACAAACAGTACTATGAAAAGAAATACTGAATATCTGCAAACCTACATCACTTGGTTGCACTCCAGTTGATTGCTGGGTAATAAACAGAAAGACTGGATGACAAAAACTGGCTCTCCATAGGTGATCTAATGAGGCATGCAGGCCAGGTATTGTTAATGGAAGAACAGGTCGCTCCTGACAGCAGCAGATGTTTGGCAAAATAGAGGGGGCAAGCAAAACATTTGGAAAATGTGCATTTGGAAAATGTGTATTTTAAATGTTTTTTTTTTCTGTTAAATTGAGTAACAAAAGGCTCAATATCATTGATGACTGAGATGTCGGTCTAGATGTGTCTTTCTAGTCATACTGCTATCTTGTGTCCTGCTTTGTGTTAAGTGGCACAGTACAGATAGGGTTTCACGCTATCCAGGTCAGTCGTGAGGGCCAAGTGCTCTCATTGTTGCAGTAATGCCTGTTGTTACTGCACCTTAAAGTGCTAACAATCAACCAATTATACACTTTCATCAAATCAAGAACTAGTACACTGCAGCAAAATCTTGGCTTGTGATTTTAAATGAGTTCAGCCTATTATTTGTTAATATTAATATAATTATTTAGGTAATCAGTTGGCTATTAACGGATATTTTAGTCCATGTATGTTAACTTTGAGGTCTCCTACTTATGTGCTTATTATAAAAGATAAAAAATATATTTATTGAGATATTTATAGGCATGGTTTGGTGAAAGAAATTTAAAATAAAATAATATAAAATAAAATTTCCTTGGCCAACCCAAACTTTCTGCTTATTTGAAATACATTAACAAGAGAGAAAACTGAGCTTGTAAAGGCATTAAGGATATTTTTAGTGTATTAAAAGTATCATGCATATACTTTTACTCAATACTATACTCATGCACTTATAACCTGAGCCATGTAATAGTTGATGTCAAGACATATTATATAAGACTTCCTCCATATTTATAAAATTTTATGATTATAAAATGTGTAGGCTAAATTAGTTTACTTGAATGTGTATTTTATCTAATTATGTGAGGTTTGTGTTTCTCTAAAACTTTTTGTGCCATTGATGGTCTTGGCCAGGTACAGTATCTCTTGTCCAAAAGCTTTTAAATCTCAGCGTGTCTAACCTTACATAGAGGTTAAATAATGAAAATGAAACCCCTGAGCCAAACGGGTTTCAATCTCATAATGGAAGAAGCATTAGGGTAATAGCTTACAGCATCTGTCTGATTACTGCTATTGGAAAACACATAAGGTCACATCAGACCATGAGGAAATCCGCTTCCTGTGGCTTGATGAGGTTGACAAGAACTCAGTCCAGCCCAAGTACATTAGTCCTTATGATGATCCCCAAACAACCAGCTTTGGCTAGTACCATTATTAACCACCTGTATGACTCTAGCAGGTCACTTGCTTCTGTTTTCAGAAATGGCTGCATTAAAAGTGAGGTAAATATAATGGAAAAAAAGGAATTGCCATGCTTTTTTAAAATAAATGGTCACAAAGCAAATGTCTTTTATCATATGAAAGCCAATATGTGTACAATATTCAGCATATTAGGGACATTGCTCATTTTACACACAAAGACAAATCATAACAGCTAATCATTCACATACAGAAGTCTTATAAGGTAGAAAAAACATCCAGCATATTAGGGACATTGCTCATTTTACACACAAAGACAAATCATAACAGCTAATCATTCACATACAGAAGTCTTATAAGGTAGAAAAAACATCCAGCATATTAGGGACATTGCTCATTTTACACACAAAGACAAATCATAACAGCTAATCATTCACATACAGAAGTCTTATAAGGTAGAAAAAACATTGATGAAAAAATGGTCATGTAAAACAAAAGTATGACTGTTTTGGAAGAAACATTAACTAACAGTTTAAAACCCATAAAAATATAAATAAATAAAACAAAAATGCCATGCGTGTATTACGTTGACAACTAGACACAATGAATACACAAAAATAGGTCAATAAATGAAAGCATTTAAGTAAAATAAAACAAAGCTAAATTAAATGGGGAAAAAACTGTTTACACAACTGTCTCATTTATTTCTATTTCTATTTCTCCTAAGTACTTTACGAGTACACACATCAAGATTAAATTAAAATGAATAATATAAAAAAATTAATTAGCTCAGATATTTTTTTCTTGTGAATTTGATGAGAAATCACTGACAACTTATTGTAAACTTGGCAAGTCTATTGTATTGTAGTATTTTGGCAAGTCTCAGCAAAATGTGAGATATTGTTGGGACTGAACAGGTGACACATTTGAAATTATTGCTGCCCCCTTTATTATAAAGGAACAGTCACACAAGGGGTCCAAAATATAATTTAGGAAAAAGCTTAATAAATTAAATTAAATTAAAAAATAAAATAAATAGATTTTAGTGTGGTATTTTGTAAAAAAAAAAAAAAAACCCCCCCAAAAAAACAAGCCACTCAAGGAGCAAGTATCTATAAACAGACTGTAAGGTACTTGTGTGAAACTAATTTGAGGGGCGTCTCCAAAGACACTCCAAAGAAAGAGACAGAGGCACTAGACCCTCTGATTTTCTAACTATAATTACCTGTCAGTTGACAAGCTGGGTTCTGAGGCATAACGAGATGTAAACGAGCCAAACGACCTTCTACACAGAAACGCTACTCAGAGGGTGATTTAAAACATATTTATATAGTATTTTAAAACATAATTGCACTGTTCTCAGGCTTATTATAATGAGTAACTAAGTCTACTGAGGATACACAGTCTGTCATAACACACGGTACGATCCAACCTCTGCGCTCACATTCCCAAAACACCGTTCCTGTGCAATCCCTCCCTCCTGGGCCTCCATTTTGAGGCTGTTAGTATTTTCCCACCTTGATCGTCTGCCCTGCATGGCAGTCTAATAATACGCAGGTGGGAAGGACGCCAGAGGGAGAGATGGAGGCAAACAGGAGGTGGGCCAGTATAATGAAGCCTGTACCATGTACCAGCCCCCTGAACAACCATCCGTCCAACACAAACAGGGTTTTCTCCACACGCACGCATACAAACATACCCATCTAAAAACATATTCTCTGGCTGACCACAGGAATGTGGCTGGAGTCAGTTTGCATGGTGGTGCCGTCCCAGCTACAGTGTGAAGAAATGTTGTGTATTTTGTTCAAATTCAACCTCACTCCACAAACTGTAGTTAACAGATGTCTGCATTCATGAATGCAAGCATTTGTCTGACAAAGCAAAGATTAGGTCTGCACGAGTATTAATCAACATAAAACTGAAATCACGCTAAGGCTTAGTGTGATTATCAAATTACAAAAAATTTAATTAAATACATGAGCTTAATGCATATTTCAAAGTGAAGCATGGCACTGTGTTCTTTTACACAGTAGAAGTTCACGATCCTGTGTTTTCAGCTTCTCTGAGTGGCTTGGTTCATAGTAAATCGATGTGCTGCGAGTTTATAATGTGCATTTGGGAAAGCAGCATGCGCAGCTTGTAATGAGAAACTGGCTGTTGTCAACAAAAGAGAAGATTTTTGGCCAAAATAAAAGATTGATAGTTTATTGTTCGAAAATGAATAAATTAAGACAGCCGTAAATATCAGAATAGTAATTTCACAGCTGTACTGTACTGTACTATAATAAAATAATAATAATCATTATTATTATTTATAATAATAATAATATGATATATTTTAAATATATATACATTTTGTTTAATATTTTTAATAAATAATCATAATCATAATAAAAACATTTTTATTATTATATGATTATTTTTATTGGCCACAAACCTGGAGCTTTTTTATTTTTTGAAGTTCACAAATAAGTTTGCTTTTCGTGTTTTCTTGTTCCTAAAGCTGATCTTAAAAACAAAATACAAGAGAGAGATTAATTGTATATCTCCTTTACACTGTACAATCTATGCTGTCTCAGCGAAGCCAATTGACGAAGTAGAACCCTAACCCTTTGGTTCTATGTAATATTTCTTATTTTATTTGATATTATTTATATAATAATCGTTATTTTATAGTAATTTTGATTTATAACCACAAAGCTTTTGTCCACAAACCTGGAACTTATATATATATATATATATA